TCCTGGAAACAGGCTCTCTGCCGGAACCAAGAGACTATTCTGTGTGCCACTCAGAGGAGGCGAAGCTCCACCCCGAAGTGTGGCTGCCTTTGTCATTTTAATTGGTCTGTGTTTGTGAAGTGGGGCCTCTATTTACTTATAGCTTGGGGCTTGTGTTTACCAAGCCTGGTGGAGGCCAAGTGACAGGGCTCCTGCAAGCTCTCCCGCAGTATCTTGAGGCACTTTCCTTTTCAGTATCAGTGCTGTCTAATTCGTGAGCTTCTGTGAGGCAAGCGCAGGAGGGTACAGGGCCTACAGGGAGGAATTACACCTAATTACTCAAATAATTGCTAGGCTGTTGCCTTCTTAGTCACTGAAAATAATTTCCAGGTCCCTGGCTTTTATAGATAGTCTTCTAGAGGCAGGAGGACACAGCCCCCTTTTTAACTCAGCCCATTCACTCACAAAATCAGAACACTCGAGCCTGCAAAATTAATAAGCACCACTTCCATTACATATATTTTAGGTTGTTGTTGCCGTGGCGATAAAGTCAGGGACATTGAATCTCCTCTGTTGAGCCATTGTTATCGTCCCTGGCCATCTGCTGCAGAGGAGTGATATTCCATCTCATTTGCATGATGACTGATATATGGGCGGTTTGGAAGGACATATGCCACGGCAATCATGTGATGAAAATTAAAGTGAAAGTTTTGGGCCCGGAGCCGAAAAAAATCTGTGTGTGCGCATGAGGCTGTTGATGTGCAAATGTGGATCATATTGAGAAGGTCTGAATAGGGAGGTGTGACGTAAGGAGGGCTCCACGCAGGTGCCTATCGCCAAGCAGCCAAAGGCACTGGATGTCATATCATGGAAACTACCTTTCAAGGCGACAGCTTTACTGTTTCCTCTCAGTACACCAGGGAGGAGAGAAAGAGTTTTGGAAACACACAAAAAAGTAAGTTTAAAACTTTTTTTTTTTTAAACCACATTCTCTTTACCCTGACGTTTTAAGAGCTCAGACAGTGAGCAAGTTTTCAGGTCTTGAGTAGTTAGTTAATAGTTACTTTTGCTTCTCTCTCTCTTTCTCTCTCTCTTTCTCTCTCTCTCTCTCTCTCTCTCTCTCTCTCTCTCTCTCTGTGTGTGTGTGTGTTTTGGAGGGGGGGGCGGGTGGCAGTTTCTAAAGACTGAAGTGCCCATGGTGTTTTACTGCTGTTTGCTTTGGTTTCTGTTGTGATGTATGTACATTTGGCATGATTTTAAATTCATTCACCACCACCCACCTCCTCCACTTTCCTACTCTCCTGCAAAAATGGGATATTGAGAAGGAGTTTAGAATAAAATATCACAGTGCAGTTACGTTTAAGCTGCATCAGCTACTGCTTTTGTTCATATCCATATTTCTGAAATATGTAAATCTGTAACAAAATATTTGATGAGACTCCACACTTTTTTTTCTGCAGAAAAGTACTGTTGAACTAACTTATGAGGTTGTAGAAATTATCAGCGAGATCTTGTGTCTTCCAAGTCTTTATTTAGATAGAAATCTTTGCTATGCTAAAAGTTATTAATGTAATTTTGCATTAATTGCTGTTACCTTTAAAAAGGGATTTGTAGATGCTTTTTGAAAAGTCAGAATCCGAGGTTTTAGCTACATATCAGAGAAAAAGTTTGTGGGTAGTTTCTAAGATATTTAAATTCATGAGTTGGGTAAATATAATATTGTATTTGAGTATTTAGAAAATTGAATAAGACTAGTCTTAAAAAATGACACCCTTCGTTGTGGGTAGAAGTGCGTGTTGTGAGCATGCTCAGAAGTTAAAGAGTAATTCTTTAAAAGCAAAAGAACGAGACTTAATACTCACCTTGAACAAAATTTTACAGAAGGATGGTTTCAATGAAATATTACCTGGGGACAGGGAGAGCATGCTCATACCTTGATGAGCTGTATTTTACCTCATATTTCTTCTGTCAGCAAAACACCTGTTAAGGGTGTTTTCTTTGATGTACATTGGGAAAATCAAAGTTCCCTGAGTCTTTCCTTTCCATTTCAGAGAATGCAGCAGCGAATAGTGTATCATGTGATGACTCTAGTAATATTTTATTTTTAGGAATAGGGAATTATGTCAAAAAAGATTGCATCACATCACCTTGGCACTGCAAAATTGGCACTGAAGTCCAATAAGTTAAATAGAAGTTTTGATAAATAAATATCGGGTATGGTCTTGTGTACTATCCTGATGATAAGGAAGTAATTTTCAGGAAATAAGTCCAGAATCCAAAGAAGGATCGAATGAAATTAGACTTCCTCTAACTTTACATTTTTTTCCTTGCTGATGTCACCCACAGAATATCCTAGTTCTATGCTGTAACCTAAGATCACCCTTGTTCTCTTTTTCCTCATTCTAAATATTCAATTACTCAGTGGTGATTATTATGTGGCCTTCTTGGCTTACTACACTATTAGATTAATATAGATTCCTTATGCCAAATTAGCGGAAATCACTGTTGCACACAAGAGCAATTCACTCTTCTCTTAGTCAAATTTGTGTTACAGCAGGAGCAGCCTCTTAAGCTCCACGGTTTTAAAATCTTAAACTTGAACGTACCGTGGCTTGGAGGACATGTGGTTTGCTCGTATCTGGAACCTGCAGTCTGCTGGAACCTTTCACAAGACTCGCATTCAGTCCTGTTTAAGTGAGACTTTTTGTAGTGACTGTCATTCTTCTATCACAACAAACAAAAAGATTTAAAGTTTCCTGGTTCCTCTTCTGTAAAAGGACTGCAGGTGACAGGAAAGACAAGGGGTGCTTGGAGCTGTCCAAGGTAGCTGGTTTCTGGAAAGTTAACCATTATAGAACTGCATTGCTCTGTATCTCTGTAACTGGTTTAATTTCCATTTTTGAAAGTTAGGGTGGTATTGCTTTTAGAGTAATAAACCTAATGAGTGCAGTGAATATTTTCAGATAATGTTGCAGTCTTACTTAAAACTGCATTTAAAAACTCAGAAACAGAGCACGCATGAAGCTAACTAGGGCTCCAGTTTGCATCTTTAAACGATTTAAGTGGAAATCAACAAAACTCAGAGCTCTCAGATATAGAACTCCACGCTGTCAACATGAAAGCCCCATGGGAACCGTCTCTGGGGCACACAGCCATGTGGACAAACGTATCGAAAAAAATTTAACTTGCAGGAATTTATTGCTCTGGAAATCAATTCTTATCCTTATGTGACCTTCCATGTCTGCTATAGAAATCCAAAAGATCATAATTGTTTGATATGAAAATGCAAAAGAATAGTTAAGTTGAAAGTTTAACATCATGAAATTCAAAATCCCAAGTGGTATATAAACATTAAAAGAAACTTTGGGCTGCTAACCCTAGGAAATGAGTTTTATGGATCGAATTCAACAAGGCTTCAGAAATGGCTCCATCTGCTGCCTAGCAGCTGCTGAAAGGATAAATTTAATTCATTAATTCATTTGGATAAAAGGATCCAAGTAGTAAAGACTTCATTGCTTGTAATGCATATAGGTGGAAACACACTGAGATGTGGTCCCTTTCTCATCTTAGATAATGAGCTACATGGTCTTCTATTTTGAGGAAAGATCTTCATGACTGAGTCAATATGATGTTGAGTTTTCAACAATAGTCAATCATTTTAAATTAGTTCAAAGCTAAAAAAAAAAGTACACTCAGGGAAGTTTAAAGTCTCAGTTTTAATCTAGAGAAACAATGAATAACTGAATAAAAGAAGCTTTCTCATGTTGTACCTGTGACTATGGGAGGTAGTACATGTGTCCATACCTACCATATGTACATAGTCATTTTTGCTTACACATAAATATGTCAGTGAAGTGAATACCTCCTTTCGATGACATTTATATAAGGCAGACATCCTATATTATTTGCAGAAATATTCAAAACTGTGTAGTACCTAACATTAATTTAGGTAGATTATATCTTAGATTTGAAATTTATATCTGCTCAGGGTTTGGAAGGTCAAATCACACTATTTTCTTCACCCACGGTCTGCTCTCAACATTTCTTGTCTAGTCTCTCTTTTCCGTCATAGTCAGCAACGTGATTTAAAAGTCTAGAAAGGTGCACCTGAAGTCTTCTCCTTTCTCCTCTGGGACATTAATCATTTTGACAATGGTGTTAAAAAATCTGTAATACATGGGCATACAATTTAATTAAATGGTTATAAGGCATACTTTGATATTTTTCTACAAGTGTAATGAAGTTTTGATGCCAGGTTTCTCAAATCATATTCAATCATCATGATCGGGTATTAGAACGCTTATGTTGTTTATGTTTAAACTCCAAACACTTTGATGGATTTTCTTAACTACTATCATTTTACCTTAGAAACCATACAACTCACCTTTTCTGGCAAGGAAAATGTTTCCTGGTTGCCAGTTAATTGATCTGTGATAGAGATAAGAGTATCCCCAAGACAAGGCTGTTTCAGTAACCAGTGTACATTTTAGCCATGTTTTTTCCTGTGGCCGGTGATTTCAGGAATGATGTTTAGCCTTCCAACATGGCCCACAGCTCACTGTGGTGTGTGTGCTGGGCTGACTCTAAAGGGTCTGTGTGTACCCTGTGGGCTGGGTTAAGAATTAGGGTTTATGCATTTACTTGTACTGTTGCATTGTTTAGACAGCTTTGGTTTAGTTTTGATCTTTTTTTTTTTTTCTTTTTGCCTTTGAGGCTCTTCCACAGTGTCAGCTGCTGACTGATAGTAGGGAAACTGCCTCGTGGTGTGAATGAAAGGGACCTAGCGGTTGGTAAACAGAGATAAGGAATAAATAGAGCACAGGCAAAAGGAGATAGTTCTGTGGGGGCCCAGATTGCTGCCAGTCTGTTCAGGGGAGATGAGGAGCCTGTCCTTTTCCCAGATTAAATTAGTGTGCGAAATCTCCAGTGACCTCCTCCCCTTCTCCCCACACTCTTCAGCCAAGCTGAACAGCCTCTGCTGTAAAGTATTCATTTTACCCAGGGACACACGGACAATAGCACTCTCCCTGATACTCATGGACAGCTGTCGTCATTCAGAGGGCTCTCAGGATTTCATTTTTCATAGGAGTTAAAAAGGGTTTTTACCTTGGACGTGAAAGGGGCAGGGGCACAACTTTGCCAGTTCTGAGGCTGTTTGGGCAAGGAGTCTGACTGAGGTAGGGGTGAGCTGGGAGCAAAAAGAATCTGCCCAGGGAACTGATTCTTTTTGTTGTGTTTAATATGATTAAGCTAGGACAGAAATTAAATTTCAACTCTGGGTTCCTTATTAGGAGAAAATACCTTTGATTCAGAAAGTTTCTTAAAATTAGGGTCATCAGTGTGCGGTAGATAATTTGTATCCACCTGGTCTACTTTCATTTTGCCTAAATATGCATGCATTTTATTGCCTGTGAATAAGCACGGGTAAATATTAAGTCTGTGAGGTACCTCGGTAGTCCCGTACTTTTTATATTTTTAGTGATTTACTGCAAATATATTCAGCATTTGACTGATTAAATAGACCTTCGGCAACCTTGAGGGTCACTGTGTAGAGTGTGTACATAGAAAATGCATCAGCCCATTGTACCCTGGCAGCTAATGAGATTGGTCGTTAAGTAAATGACACAAAGCCTACAAAAAAAAAAAAAAGCTTACAGCTCACTAGAGTATCACAGAGTGTCCCCGCACACCACACAACGACACAAACACTGGACTAACCTAGCCCACCCTGCTTTATTCTACATCACTGCTTCCCTGATGTCAGCGTGAGAAGCAGAACAAAGGCTAGGAGGCAGCGGTAAGTCAGTCTGGCAATGAAGCCCTAGGGAGAAAGTGGAGCAATCTCAACCTAACTGTGGGGCCGAGAGTCCGTTTCTAAACAAGTGGGTCCGGATGAAGGGATTTTGCTGTTACTTGTAGAAATATCGCCTCAGTGACCAATGTTTTGATTCTGTTGCTATTGTTGTATCGTTTTGCTGCTTCACAAAAAGTTTGTGAATCTCAGAGCCCAGGGCTCCTCAAATGGCGAGGGAACATAAATTTGAGAGGTGGGTGTTTGTTGGAGATGAACGGCTCTGGCAAGTAACTGCTGGTCAGGTGTGTGTGTGTTTGAAAACTTTCAGGTGCATGGGACAACTTTAATTTTAGTTTGTCCTATGGCTTGTAGGACATAAGGGGACACAGGGCATGAATCTAATTGGTGAACTTCGTTCTCGATGTGATAAAATTGTTTCAGCCCTTAATGTGTATTTAATATCAGGTATGGGATAGTCAGTGCCTTAAAAATCCGTCAATTAACGAGGCAGAAATCCTTAATAAATAAATAAATTAAAAAAAAAATCCGTCAATCAACCAAGCGCAGCAAAACAAGAAAATAAAAGCTCCTCGTTTGCTCAGACATTTCTATTTTCTCAAATCTTGAAATAGAAATCACTGTGTTAGGTGCTGTTGAATGGGATCAGGAGTCATTTGCTTGCTGTAGTTGGAGAGGGAAAAAAATCAAAGCTATCTAACACTGAAGCCGCACTGGCTTACTCTTTCCTTGGGGAAAAAATTGCACTTGCAGTATTGAAGTGTAACATTGCAGGATCCGTTTAGAGAAATATGGCAGCAGGGAGTTGCCAGAAAGTCTGATTTGCCTTCCTGAAATGTCTGTCTGGCTTAGATGTGGATTTTCTGAGGATGTTTAGTTCAAGAAAGGATGATTTTGTTACAAGACATTCAGGTAAATTAAATATTTTATTCTAACAACTCTCAGCTGAATGGGTTGCCAAAGGCATAATGAACTCTTGATGAGCTCGTGGAAAACATTTTAAAAGTATTGTTAACATAACGTTGTATTTGTAAATAGATGTATTCACGATATCAGTCAGTGTCAGGACTCAATTTTTAAAGGCTCTGCATTTAATATTAAACTGGCATCTCATAGTCATCCGCTCACAAATTAAAACAACATCATATAGAAATCAGTTTGCTAACTTACAGTCCTTGTACTGAAAATTTGTTATTTGCATAGGGATATAGAAATATTTTGACATATAATAGCCTATTAATAATCATGGAAGATTTATCACACAGGTTTGTGATATGCTGTAAGTGAATCAAAGGCTACATGCTTCCTGTTATTTTTGTCATGAAGAACTTTTCCTGTTACAGATGCAGTCTCAATTTTCATTTTATTTATATGATGTAAGACTATTACTTACCTGTTCATAGTATGTTTTATATTCTTCAATTCTGTTCTTTTCCAAAGCAGTCAGAATTTGAAGGAAGTAAATTTCATGGCAAAGATTAATGTTATCTTATTGATTTCAAGTGAAATATGTGCAGGAAAGATGTGCTTTGATTTAGTTAACTTGAGAGAATTTGAAATGTCATCCTGTCAACATGCCTTTCATGTGGGAATCCTGGAAAAGAGAAAGCCATCTGAAAATGGCCACACTTGCTTCCTAGCAATTTTAGTTCAGGGCAGAGTTATGCAGATAGTTGACTCTCACAGGCGCCGTAAGTCCTCCATGTTATCTTTCTCTGCTGAACATTTTTTTTTATCTGAATCACCTGTGTTATAATTTCTTTTTCCATAGTTGCTAATGCTCGTCCTGTTAATACAAGAGTAAGTGTTTCAGAAAGCATACAGCCCTTTGGTTGACATAGCTGTCCACTCCCACCCTCCCTGGTGCAGCAGGGCATGGCAAACTTGACCTGAGTGTGTAAGTCACTTCTCTGCAGATGAAACTAAATGTATTTACTTTGCAGAAATGTAATTTTTCATTGCTCAAAGCAAATTAGGACTGGCCTGTAGTTAAGACCAGAGGGCATAGGACATTATTTTTTGTCTTAAGTGAACTTACTTCCACCAGTACTGTACTTAAAAGATTTTCAAAACTGCAGCTAAGGAACCAGTGTTAGAGTTGGAAAACTCTTTTCTTAATAAAATTTAAAGAGTTTATGTTGAGAGAAAGAAGCTTGGCTTTAATGAACTTTTACTTCAGTCACTTAATGAACAAATGCATCTTAAAATTGTTTGGTCAAAAGATTTTAAGATATGCTGTGAGCAATGTGGGAATATTTGCTGCACCCAGGGATGCACCAAGAGTGACATGTCCTAGAGAAAGGCCAGCTGTTGCCCAGCAGCACAGAAAACCATGCATTGGAAACCTGGTTCTTCTAGTCAGCGTGTGACGCTGGCTGGTTTAACTTTGTAAGCCTCAGTCTCCTGGTCTGTTTAATGGGGACCAGGATGGGAGGAGAAAACAAGGTTGTGTGGAAACTGAACAAGATAACGCATATGATGCCCCTGGTGCATCACGCTTGTGGCTTTGAACTTGTGCTTGAGGTTCACTCGCAAGTGGATGCCACACCAGGCCACATCACGGTGCCTCTTCGCTCCCACAGTATAGACCCTTGTCCTCTCTTCACTTTCAGAGGCCCCAGTTCTGTGAGACCCTTTGAAGGACTGTGCCAGTTCCACGTTGTGTGGCTGTGTGCTCACACCAGCTGAAGGTAATGTGCTTAGACTGCTAAGTATATGCTAAGTATATACCGCTAAGTTGACTTTGTGTATAGTTGTTTAGTAACTTTCCGAAGAGCGTATTAGAATTCTGTTGTATTTCAACATAAACTTCCTGTAAGGAATATTTACTGGCATTTAAATAGAAAGTGAAACATCTATAATTTAAATAATTATGGCAAAGTTTTTTAACTATTGAGATTACATTAAAAATTTTGATTAATATTTTAATTCATTGCTCCATAGGGATTTATTTAATTTTTAAGCTTACATTATTTCTTTTCACTTAGCCCTTAAATTAAGTATAAACATTTCTTCTTCAAAGCTATAGTTATTGAGAACTAATTTATTTTACTTTTTATCTATGTATTGATACTTGAGACTCATTTTTTTGTCAAGTGTTTTATATTAAAAGGCAAAATTCCATACTAGTGGCCTCTAAGAGATACCTAGATTGTATTAAAATATTTGAATATTGTTTTGTCAAATGCTGCAACAAATTTATGAGCTTTTCAGAAAAATTAAAGTTTCTGCTTTGGAAGAATGCTGTGGGTTAGGAAAATTTCCCAATTCATATTACCTGTGCCTATGGGAGAATTTTTCTATTTCATATATCCTATGCCTAAGGGAAATATTATTGACTCACAAAAATAGTGCTTTCTGTCTTTAGATTATTATTTATACTTTATACATAATTAAGTTTAATAACAGAGCAGTTTTCAAATTGAGATATTTTAAATTATTTCATTTATAATGTGTTAAGTACAAAGTTGCTAGAGATATCTGCCCATGTTTGCTAAAAACTCTTTAATGTATTTCTAGTTTGCTGATGATATGTTAATTGATACTAGTCTAATGAGGGACTGCACTTGGCAATTCAATGAAAAACATTGATACTACAATTTCATAAACACAAAGTATGAATTTGTGGTGTATTTTCGAGATCTCTTACAACTCTTTAAAGTTGCAGAGTTTAATTTCCTAAGTAAGAAGGTTTTCCCCATGCAGAAAGCATAGCTAAATGCTGGTTTGTCAAATGTACCTTGTTTTTCTTTTTATGTGTCACATACATATTCAACATCTATGTGAGTGAATTCATGCTTGGCCCAAGCAAAACTTAGCTTCCATTGCTTACACTGCCATGCAGAACCAGACTCAACTGAAACGGTTAACTGTTCAAAGGAACAAACAGCATTTTCTTTCCTGGAATATAAATTAAAAGAGAATATGAAAACAGAGACGGAAGAATTTTGCTGTTGAAAAGCTGATTGTAAACGATCATCAGTTGGCACGACACACTGTTTGCTTGTTGTTTCTATGGTAGATTTGGTAGGAATTAGAGTGGAAGTATTTACCTCTTTTACCTTTTCCTCTTCAAACACCAAACAGTTGTGGAGAATCAGCCCTAATATTTCCATTCTGTGCTTGTGAAAAAGAGGTGAGGATGAAATATGCTCTGAAGAAAATGAAATCAGGGAAAGATTGAGGCTGACATTGTGGCTGCTCCAGAAAGAGGGCACGAATCTGAGCATACAACCTGCAACACACAGAGCCCGTGGTGCTTTTGTGTGGGTGAAAGATACCAGTGTCTCCCAAAAGGGTTAAGGAAATGCATTCTGTTGCATCTGCTTACTAAATCCCTTCCTTTAGCAGAAATTCAAATTTTGTAAAGATTATTCGTTTTATTGATGCATATAATTATAATCACAAGCCATCTGCTGATTTGGCAGGCATGGTTAAAATTCTCTAACTCTCATAACCTTTCAAGTACAGTGCCCTTGGGACTCTATTTCACTTTTATATTTTGGAAAACATGTAGGGACAAATAAGGGCGGTCATCTGCAGAATGTCAGACCTGGGGAAATGGAAGAATGGGGACTGTGTTGCTATGGTGGTGGCTTTCAATAGTAGGGGAGTGATTTTCCCTTTATTTCTGACTTCATGAAAGATGATCCTAGTTTCTGTGATGAATTTTGGAAAATTTTTCTAGGGATTAAAGCTCTGTCACTACCCTCCCCAAAGCCAGGTTTCACGCCTGACCGAAAAGAACATGCCAAAAAACCTTCCAGACATTTTTTATGTTGGTCTTAACAGATAAATTCAGTATATTTCACCTACTCCTTCTAAACCATGGAGTATTTATTTTTATTTTTCCAAAAATATTCAGTTAAATAAACTTATAGTCTAAGATTTGTGTTGGGAAATAACTTACACATTTTGTCATCAGTTTTTGATTGGAAGGCCACATTTCTAAGAATTTCGACTGTATTGTTTGTTATGAAATTAGCACTGGTCATGTTTCCCATGGCAAGAGTCTTATGTGACCCTTCTCTGCATCTATAAACATTTGAAGCTTGGTGGACGTCCATGCCTGAATCGCTCACTCCTGTGGGAGTATTTCTTCCATAATCTGATGGTATCAACCTTAGTTCCCCAATGGTCTGGCTTTGCACACGGACGAATCTCAGCAGAATATGAGTCTGCATAAGGAACTTGGAGAAAGCCATAGAAGGCCACGACCAGGATTCATGAGATAACAGGAGCAAGCACATACGCAGCCAATGTGTTTCTCGGCCTCTGTTTCTTTCTCACCACACCCCATGAAATCCAGAGAATTATTTGTTAGAATTTTGAAAATAAGGCAGAGAATTTCTAATACTAGTATTTCACAGGTAAAGTTTTTTCCATGGCAATAGTGAAGTATATGGCCTGACTATACTTAACAATAATATCCTTCCACAATCACCAGATGATACTTGCTTTAAGCCAACGACTGCGCTGAGATCTTTAAAAGGTGGTTTTACTTATTACTTAGAATAATCATGTCCACCTTTACAGAAGAAGCAATAGAGACTGAATCATGGGATGTTTCTTGTGTCAATGGATGGATGAAAACTTGCTCTTACTATCTCCCCATGTATCCTGGTCTCTGAAACAGTGTCAGCAATGTAGTTGCCAAATAATGCTGGGTCCCAGGTACAGCTGGGTTCTATTATAGTTTAATACCACAAAGGCATTGGATGAATCAGATGGGGCGACCTGACAAGCTGCTTTATTTTCCTTATCACCAACATATACACTTTAGGGGTGACCTCTGGAGTAGTTTTGGTGCCCCAATTTCTGTAACTGTAAACATTTTATAATTAAAACATGAGTTTGAAAAGTAATTTAAAGACAACATAAGCACTCATGATACCGCTCAGATAGATGTTCACCATGCCAATTAACCCTGATAGCAGAAATAGCCTGTCGAAGAGCCACATGAACTTTAGGTCTAACCTAAATGTTAGAAGAGGAGTCCAACATTTGGTCTCATGCTGAAAACTCTCAGTTCTGAGATAAACACAAATGCTCAGAAAGCATCTGATAATTGAATTTCAACTCTATATATTTTGGTAATAATGTCGCACTGACACAAAACTAACTGCCAACCAAAGTATTTTATATCTATAAATTCTCACAACTAGGGCACCAAGTCACCAGGTCAGCAGCCAAATACACAAAGTCAGTTCTCCTCCCCTACTTGGAGGTGAGAAAACCACACTGGAGAGGGGTTATGCACAGCCATGACTCCAAGCATGGCTTCAAGAGCAGAAGCCAGCTGAGGCCAGGCACTGCGACGACACTGTGAAGAGATGTGTCCCAGATTGCATGCTTTGCTTCCAGTTTTTTCTATGGGCTTGTCATTAAGTTTCACCTGAAAGAAAGTTCCACTGCTCTAGACAAATGTTTGAAACCCTAAACTACAGCCTACAGCATACTTAGACACATCACAGTCTTTCTTCGATACTAATTTAATTAGCCTGTGACTGTTAAAATAATCATATAGTTTCCTTAAATTATTAAAGAATTAGCCTTAGGGTACTATTTAATCTTTTGCAAATGAACAAATAAAAAGACAATTAAAAGGTTTGTTAAAAACCCTTTAGAAGATAAACTATCTTTGAAAGTGTTTGTTCTTCTTATTGCCTAACAGAGAAACTCGGGGCATTACTAAGAATTGCTTAAGTGTTTAGAGAAAAAAATAATAATTTAAGAAGGAATTGTTTCAATTATGATATTGTAAATCTTAAGTAGGTGTTCATTAAATGCCCCACAGTTTTAATATACTATTTCAACTGTGTATGACTTTAAGTAATTGTTTGTAGTATTTACTGTATTGCCCAGGCAGAGAAATAACAATATCAATATCAAAGGTAAATGATAAAACATTGCTTGGGTTTTCTATAATTGGTTGACTAAGAAATATGTGTTTGCTTAGGTTTCTAAAATGTAAAGTATGAATACAAGGCTAGACCTGCCTGAGCACCCATGAGTTAGCATAGGACAAAGTGATACAAACGGATCAGTCGTCACGTGATGGTAGTTTATTGAAACAAGTCGTGGCCAGGTGCAGCTCCACTCAGACTCTTAGCCTTAATGTGGAGGGCCCAGGAGTAGCCTGTTCTCCCCATCCTTTAAAACATGGTGCTGCAGCCTACGGAACAGAGTGGCTCTGAGCAGAGGCCATCTTACTCGGAGATGGCATCATGGAAGTTCTTGTGTAGAAAACTCTTAAACAATATTGAATCTCCACATTCAACAGACTTGCTGAGAACCTGTTATGCTCCTCTAACTTTGTTAAGCAGTGAGGATAGTACATGAGGATTCACAGTGCTCACAGCTGGACGGGAAGAATGAGCAGAGAGTAGAATAGAATAGGACTTGTGTGGAAGGCAAGCCCAGGATTTGAAATTGACAAAAGATTAAGTACGTACTATGGGTATAGGTGCCTAGCATCTGGACACTGGGGATTTGATCCCAAGAATCACACACAAAGTAGAAACGACAATCTGTCTTGGACAGCTGTGTGAGTGATGGATCAAGACAGGACATTCATAAGGAAGAGCTGCTCAGAGGGAATGGTAGTGGGCTCTTTGGGGAGTATTACATGTTTGATAACTAGTGCTGCCAGTGAGTGGATGAAGGTCAAGATTGAGATCTAGGATGGAGA